GGGAGAAATTTTTATGGAAATATATTGACTAATTAATAAGTTAATAAAATTAAATTAGTAATAATTTTTCTATTAATTTAATAAACTAATTAAAATTATTTTTTTTAATGTTTTTGTTAGAAAATAAAAAAAAACTAAGTATTTCAAATAAAAAAAAATAATGTCAGTAATTAAATTATAATGAAAAAAAATATTAGAGAATAATTATAATAAGTGATAAATTTTTGGGATTAATTTAGTAATTTATTATTTAATTTATTCTAATTTTTTCCATAATTCATATTTTTTTTTTTGTCTAAAACAAAAATTAAGTTTGTTTTAATTTTTTTTTTTTAATGTGGAATTAGTAGTATCGGTCACTTTGAAATAAAGGCATAATTTTGGAAACAAAATAAAAAAAAATATTTGGACTTAAATTATATTATGTGTTATATTTTGAATATGAAATTGTTAATTTATCTTAATAATAAATAAGAGAAAAATAGAATTATTGTCAAATTATCTCATAGATTGCGTATATAAATGTCGGATTTGTTGTCTTTTTATCATTAATTATATTAGTACTTGCATTTTGTAAAAGAAAAAGCAATAATGCTTTTTTTTTTTTATTAATTATTATCTTATATATTTTTTGTTTTTCCACTCTTTTTTAATTTGCTTCTAAAATTAACTGTTTATGTAAACTGACCAAAAAAAAAATTCAAATATTTAGGTACTAATTTCTAACAAAAAATTAAGCTATAACTTTTTCAAACTATTGCATTAAAATTGAATTTTGCCCTCAAAATTATTTAGTACACTACCTCAATAGCTGTAATATGGATATTTTTTGGAATTTAAATTGATGGGTTGATTATATCATTTAGCCTTTTTCATGCAATTGTGGTGATAATTTCACTAAACAAAAATAATTATAATTCAAATTAAATACTTCATTAAAGACAAATATTTTAATGATAATATTCGCGAGAGACATTAAATTATATAAGATTAATTTTTAAAATAATTAATTTACATATATGTATTAAATTAATTTTAAAGGTAACCAGTTACTTACATGTGTCAAATTAATTCTTAATTAGAGATAATTAATTTCTTTTGATGATGTGGTCTGACGTAGAACTTAATTTTTTCTTTTTTTTTAATTATATGCTAATCACGAAGCTCTCTTTATATATACATATGTTATTAATGTATTTTTTTATATAAAAAAAAGATAGTAAATAATAATCCACTTTTAAAATATAATAAATTATAAGATTATAAAGTTAATAATTTAATGAATGAAATAATATTTAAATTAACTAAATGTAATAAAAATAATATTTTTTATATAAATTTATGATATTAGTATATAAAAAATTATATTAAAGAATATGACAAATCTAATTATATTGTATATAGTATAAAATAACATAGAAAAAACAATCAGTACTTAAAATATATAATATATGATAATACAAAAGATAATATTATTTCTTATGATTTGAAAAGGCATAATAAATTAATTACTTTATAATAAACGAAGGTCTAATATTGCTGATAAAAAAATTACAGAGATAAAAATAAGGCACTTATATAGATATAATTATATATATATATTATAATATAGTGGCGTTAAAACATAAATCTACATATTTTTGTACGTTGTTTATTGGCAAATGATGTCTACTTCTGGGCCGAAATTCTGCATTCAGATCCAATCTGCCAGTTATTGGGTTTGTAACCCGGCTCAGAAAACCGATCCGCTCCTCGTGGGGCTACGATAAATTACGTCATGCCCCGATTTTCTCAGTCTTCTGCCCTAGAGCGAGCGACTCAGGTAACTCAAAAATCTATGCTACTAGTTTAAGCTCTCGTTTCGTTGTTTGACCTCAGTTGTCTTTTATTTTGTCAAATTTCTCCAAAAGTAACGAGAAAATAATCTTTAGATATTCGTTGGGTTGCTTGGAAAATTGCGGTCGGAAATCAGAAAGTGGAAAAACTGTCTGTTGTTATGAGAATTTACTGTTGAATTGCCTGTTTGAGCTGCTTTTAAGTTTTGTTTTCTTCAGTTTCCATTTCTTGTTTAGTTTATCTGCGACCAGATGGGCGTTTGAGTTCATCGAAGTTACAAATTTGCCTTCGTTGATGTCGCTATCGAAGTTGAGCTTGATTACTATTCGTTTAAGAAAATTTTAGTCAGGAGAAACTAAAATTTTTATTCGTGTGAAATTTGTTTATGTATATAGTTTGGTATAGCCTTATTTCGCATTGTGCTTGGTTCTCGATGATATAGAAATAGATGAATTTTGTGTGGCATAATAGGTGGTATCTTAGCTAGTTTATGTAGTGAGAATCAATGTTTGACAAAAGTTTGAGAAGCTCAAGCTTTGTCTCTCTGTTTTTATTTGTTTGTAGGCTTGAGCTTCTAACGGATTTTCAAGTTGATCAATCTGTTGTCTCTTTGAAGAGTTCCATATGGATTTTGACGAGTATGAATACTTAGAGAAAACAGTTGAAAATCCTGACCCTCAGAAAGGGAAGGAAACTGCCAATGGTGGTGGTGGGACTGTGAAATCTGAAGAGAAAGAACGCAGTCGGAATTCAAAACATGGGAGAGATGAAAAAGGGGATGATGATGGCCATCACTCCAAGCGCTCAAAGTCTGGTGATGAGTCGCATGATCATGAACATCACAAAGAGAGGAGCTCATCACATCGTCGCTCAAAATCTAGAGATGGAGAAAGGGATAGATACAGAAGTAGCCATGAGAAGGATAGGGACCGTGATAGACATAGGGAGGAGAGAAATGGGAGGGAGAGAGATAGGGATAGGGAGAAAGATTCTGATCGGAATCAGGACAGGAAAGAGCATGTCCATGTAAGGGAGAAGGAGAGGGATGAAGACAGAGAAAGGGAGGGTTCGCATCGAAGCAGGAGTCAATCAGAAAGGCAGCGAAGTGATCGAGAAGAGGGTGACATAGGGAGGAGTCGGGACAAAGAGCATAGAGAAAAAGAAAGAGAGAGAGATTTACGGGAACGAGACAGAGAAAGCAGGTGCAGTTTATTCTCAAATTGTCATTATTTTTCTGTATTGTTGTTTCTATCACAAATTTCAAGCTGTCATATAAAACTGATGTATGGATTTTTTTATGTTGTTTAACCTCTTTAAATGTGAATTTTCTTTTACAATCCAGTGTAATCAGCAGAAAGATGCTAAGTTAATTATATATGCATGCAGTGATCAATAATTAAATATAGGAGTTAAGTCATTAGGTACACAAGCCTTATCATGGATTTTATATTGTTAGTGCACATGGGCTTAGTAGCCAAATTTGAAGAAAATTGCGTATGTTTCTGGAAAATAATTTTTTCTGAAAGAAATGTATGCTATTAATCCCATGGCTCCAGGAGGGTGCTATAAACCTAGAGAAAGAGTTGTGTGCTAGATATGGGATAAAACAATAATGATTTGCCCAGCTCTTCCTCACTGGTGATAGGACGACCAAGAATAGAAAATCTAGACTTTTAAAAACCAATTATTGATATGCATTTGGAAGGGTGTGACAACATGCTCAAAAGCTCTCATTTGTTTATTCCTTAGATGCCACATATGTCTCTGGCAATGATTATCACCGGTACCATAGCAAATACCATATATATGTATATATATGTATATATATGCTAGTTTGGATCAAAGAGGGATCAACATAAGGAACAATTTTCTTTCCCCATATAGCTATTTTTTGGATTTTATTTTTGTTGTGAAATCATAAATTGCTATAATAATCTGACATTGCTTTTGATTGCCAATTGTTTCTGGTTTGGGAGAGTGATTATCTTTAGAAACTGCCCCCTTCGTCTCTCTATCTTTTTCCCCTTCCTTAATGGGTCCCTCCTCTGCAATCTCCCACCTGGGTATCATTAAATCTTGCTCAACCAGCAAACTCACTTTTATTTAACAAAAGAAATTATCTTTAGAAACTGAAAATTAATCTTCATTACGCCTGAAAATTAGAAACTCTTGTTATTTTACTGAATTAAAATGTTGAAATATAAATTGACTTCTCATAGGTAATATTTTGGGAATAGCCTGATATTTTTAAGCAGCGACTTACAGTGATGTAGCAATGAGTGCTTTGCCATAGGAGTTTTACTACCTTTTTCCTGATTATTCAATAAAAATTTTTATGCAAGGTTGATTCTCTTAACTGCATTTGGTACTGCCAGTACCTATCATTGTTTGTCCTTTTTTTTTTTTTTGGATGTTCTCGTATGAATCATATTGGTCTTTTCTTATTCATGAGATATATAGTTGGGTTTTTTCTTTTCTGCATATCTGGTGTTCACTTGTGTCTAACATCACAGTAATTTTGTAATACTAGGGTGAGTGTGACTATGATCATAAACAAGGATTTTCTATCATGGTGACCTGGGAATACTTGTTTTCATTAGTGTCGAAAAAATTGGTAACATAAGCCTTGGGGCCAATAAGCTGTTTCCCTTCCTTCAATGTTTTTTTGGAGGTGGGTTGCAGGCCAGACAGGCTGCTTTTATGCAGAAACAGTGCATGGAATTCCAGAAAGAGCTGAAGAAAGAGCATGTCTTTACTCTATTGCCCCTTGCTGATTTTATCATACTAGTATTGAAATATGTAGGTAAGGCTAGTGTCCACATTTCCATGCTGTTGAGCTTAAAACTATATTGGTTCTGCGATGCAGTTTGATTTTTGGCTTCTCTATGGCAATTATATGGAAATTTAGATATTTAGAGAGTGAAGTAGTTATCTGTGTTTTTGTTATGTCTGTATTTGGATGTTAAATCCAGGGTGTGATATATTTTGTGGTGAAGCAGTTACTCTGTTTTTAATTTCAGTAATTAAATGTTGAAATTCTTGAGCTTGTGTTGGTCATATTTGAGAAATGACTTGTCAGTCTGTTTTCATGTAAGATTTCTGCATTCAGCAACTTGCTGCTTGGTAGACACACTTGACGTTGATATCTTCTGCCTGATTATTTTGCATCCCCTTTCCTACATACTTTGATTTGATCAGAAACTTTTTATTTCTCCATGTTTAGTGCATGCAGTACAATAAAGTAGAACAAGAATATCTATGTTGTATGCCCAAACACATTTGACTTGAAGAGAACCAACCTTATCTTTGCTGTAGCTATTGTTTATGGATTTGTCTCTTAGAAGTATAATTTTCCCTTTAAGTGAGGGTTAATATACTGTTAGTTATGATATTTATCAGTCTTGAAACTGCTGAATATTGAAGTTAGATTCTCGGACTCGCAGATACTAAAGCTATCTCTCCAGATGATCTTTTTTGGCAAATAGGGGCCAGGCACAAGAACCTCAGGTCATGAGTTTAATTGCTCTTCTAGATTTCTGAATCAATTAGAAAGCTTGCTTTGCAAGATTGGAGTTTCAGTTTTAGAGTTGGTGACTGGATTGAAATCATGTCTTAGATTTCCATTGTTATCCATCTTCAAACTTGGGTTGCTTATTTTACATTTATTCCTGTTGTAGAAAAAGCTGCTGAAGGAGTGATGGGCTTTGCTTAAGATAAGCACTTCATCATCTGATGCTTGTGGAAAAATCGATTTTCAGTGGGCAACAACATTGGCAATAATGTTTTGAAGTATAAAATAATATTGCTAAATCTTTTTTGGTTGCCTGTATAAAATTATATTGCGAGAATTGTCTAGTCTAAGTTCTAATTTGCTGGTTGAGAAAAACTCAGTGCTGTGTTTCTGAGTGCAAGTTTTTAGGATAGTATTCACCGTTAACTTCTCTATTCTTCTATTCCAAATGGAAGCTGGCTTCTTTTTCCACGATTAGGATCTTTTTCTTCTTTTTCTTTGCTCCCCAAACATTCCTTTCCAAGTACTAATCTATCAATTTTTTCCTTTTGTAATTCTATTACTAATTGCATCTTTGGAAACATTTCAGTCTTAAATTGCCCCTATTTCCAGTCTTTTCTGTGTAAGACCAAACTTCTCTCAGGGGTCAGTGGTGTTATTTGATTTCATTCATGCTATGTGATCAGGCTTTCTTCTGTTTTTATTTTGATGTTATAAATTAGTTGTCACTTGTTCATCTTAGCCATCAGTTTCTTGCAGGTTGTTCATTATTTCTTCATATCTGCATGTCGTGTTAAGCAGTGTATCAGGACATTATCAGTTTTTCATTTTGGCAACTCAAATTTTCCATGTTTTTGCTGTTGGGGTTTAAGTTCTTAATTTTTAACTGGTTCATGCTAATGTATTAGGTCCTTTGGTATTGCCATCTATACAACTTGATGGGGCTGGTTCCATTTAAGATTATCATTTTTATAGAAGATACAAAGTTTGTGGTTGGTTATTGCTTGAACTTACATAGCATCAGGTTGGTTCTTGTTAATTTTCAAAATGGAGATGAAATTTTAATTTAATAATCTGCATTCATTGGCCATCTCTTGTTAACTTCGTGTAGTTCCCTGCAGGGCTGTGTAACACGGATTCGGCTTTTTTACGCATATTGGAGAAAATTGATGCAATTTTGGGATTTATTATTTCTTTGTTTTTCGTTTCATGATAGAAAATTGTGCCTCGTCCAATGAGCAAAAAAAATTTAAAAACAGTTGCTTATTTTATGAATGCCAGAATCATTTTTGAGTTTCCAGTGAGAGTTCTATATCTAATTGCAAAATCTGTGTTGTTCACTTGGATTTTGTCCTCTTGCAGACGACATAAAGAGAAAAAGGAAGAAACGGCTGAGCCTGAAGCTGATCCTGAGCGGGACCAGAGAACAGTATTTGCTTATCAGGTAAACCCGAGAAAATTAACACGTTTTCTATTTATCCATTCCCATAAATCTATATCCTACAGTTTCTAAGTCAATTTCTGTTTTAAAAAATTCAACAGATTTGCTTGAAGGCAACTGAAAGAGATGTTTATGAATTCTTCTCAAGGGCTGGCAAGGTTAGTTCTCTTTGCAGCAGCGATATATTACCTGACTGATCATTTTAGTTTTGTTAATGTCTATGTATGCAGCTATCTTGCCTCTCAAAATATGCCTTTATCACAATTTCAGGTGAGAGATGTTCGCCTCATCATGGACCGCAATTCAAGACGTTCCAAGGGAGTTGGGTAAGTGTAGTTCAGAATAAAGATCTTGAATTCTATGTTGATAAGTTTAGTGCTTACTGTGCGATGAGTCCAACTTCTAAATGTAAAGTTGCATGTTATGCAGATGGTATATCTGTGTTTGTTCTTCTATATGGTAATTTTGTTTTGTTTGTAGGTACATTGAGTTCTATGATGTAATGTCAGTCCCTATGGCAATAGCACTCTCGGGGCAGCCTCTTCTTAGTCAACCTGTGATGGTAAAACCATCAGAAGCAGAAAAGAATCTTGTTCAGTCAACGGTGGCTGGAGGTTCCACTGGACTTATAGGTCCCTATTCTGGGGGGGCCAGACGTCTCTATGTTGGAAATCTTCATTTCAACATGACAGAAGATGATCTTCGCAAGGTAAGTGTTCTTTGTTGTACCATATGAACTGTTGTAAGGTTACTTGTGTACTGTTTAACATTTGGTTGGGAGATTCCAGCCAATGTATACAATTATTGATTTGCAATATTGATGGCTTAGTCTTCTTAGTCCATATTATATTTATGTGGCATACCGGATGATATAATCATTTCTTGTTTCTGAAATGTGTTTAGCAATGATTTTTATTGCCGATTAATATTATATCCTTCCTTGAATATTACTTTTTACTAACTGATAAAAGAATTTGCTTTCTGCTGAATATTTAGGTTTTTGAACCATTTGGGACTGTGGAGCTGGTGCAGTTGCCTCTTGACGAAGCTGGGCATTGCAAAGGCTTTGGCTTTGTCCAGGTATGTTCTCTAAATTCTGGACTTATAAAAAAAAGTTAGCTGCTGGTCAGTTCTTGAATCGGTCTATTTGACTGCTTTAAAAGCTGTCCTGGGATGTCTTGTTGGGTTCCTGTTTTTTATTCTCATAATTAAACAGGGTAAACCTGTATTATTATGTGGATAACAACCACAGGTGGGTTCGAAACTTTTTCCCACTTGATAGATGGAGAGGCGGCTTACCACCAGGTCAAGCCATCAACCCTTTTTGAGGTTTCTTTTTAATCATATGATAATCTTCTTCTTCCCTCCTCCCCCTTCCCCCTCTCCCAACAACTTTTTTCAGTTTTCACGTCTTGAAGATGCTAGGAATGCATTGAATTTGAATGGACAATTGGAGATCGCCAGTCGAGTAATCAAGGTAATTCCATGGCAACATTTTTCACAAGTATTCATGTTTCTGCTACCTGTTACTGTCTTATGTTTTAAATTTTGATGAAGCTGTTTCTGTTCTAAGTTGATTTAATTTTTTTGAAGCCACAAGATATTTTCTACTCAATTGCTGTCCATAGAGTTGAAAATAGAAGTGCTTTTTGTCCATGCCAGCTTCTCACGTCTACTTGACCATCACTGTGCTGTCACCGCCACCTTTGTTTTAAGCCCAATTCCAGTAGACAATCATGGCCAACCGTGCTGCAACTGTCATTTCCAGATTATAATCCCGTTGCTACCAGGACTAACACACTGTTGTTGTTAGACTTCTTCGTGCACTATGACTGGGTACCATTAGGTAAAGGGATAGAAAGCAAAAGAAATAAAAAAGAGTGGATTTTTAATGAAAGAGAAGGAAATGTGTTTCCTTCTTTGAATAATTAAAAGTTGAAAAAGTAAAGTAAAAGATTGTTCTAGTATTTTGTTTGGTAGATTTATAGATGGAATTAAATTAATTATGAGAAAATAACCAATAATTCCCTCTACTAATAGAATGACAAGTTAGATAATAAGAATAAATCAGAAAATTCTCCTTTAAAACTTTTAATCCCTTTCCTTTTTCTTCCTTTTCTCAAATTTGAGGTTTAAGGAAAAGAGATGGATGGTCATAATCCCACCCTTTCCTTTACTAATTATGTTTTTTTATTCAAATAAGGGAAAGGAGGGTGAGCATCCTTTCATTACATTTTCCCTCACTTTTCTAAATCCAAACATAGTGCAAGTGCCATTGATTTTGCCTTATTTTCTGTTATATACACATTCTTGATTTGTGTATTCTTTTAATAGTCTACAGTATCCTTATCATGGATGTTCTATTCCTCTTTGGTTAGGTGTCAGCAGTTACTGATCAAACTGGAATTCAAGATGTTGGGACAAATACTGGTGATTTTGATGATGATGATGGTGGTGGATTGGTTAGTAATACCCTTTCTATCTTGCACTCTTTTTTTGTGTATATAGACACTGTATAGCAGCATTTTTCTCTCCTATCATAGTTACCAATCCTATGCATGCCTGCATTCATAATTGCTTCATGTGAGAATTTCTATGCATATGGTCACCATTGTGAGATAAGGTGATCTTATAATTTCAGGCGTTGAATGCACAATCTCGAGCACTTCTCATGCGGAAGTTAGATCGCAGTGGCACTGCATCAAGGTTTGCTTTCCGTTGCGCATAATTACATTCTTAATTTATCAGTTTGGTCTCATATTCTGTTCCTTCATTTGCAGCATTACCAGTTCATTAAACACTCCTGCTGTCAACAGCACTAGCCTTGTTGGACCAACTGCACCCATCCTTGGTGCTGCACCCGGGGTTCCTCCCTTGGTTGCTCCTCTTGTACAGGGTTCTTTTCCTTCTGTCCCTGTGCTCCCAGGAACAGGTCTACAACTTCCTGGTGCAACTATTCCTTCTGTCGAGCCCATTGGCATCCCAAGTGAATGTCTATTACTGAAAAATATGTTTGATCCAAATGTTGAGGTTGGTAGGCTTTCTTGGCAGAGGTCCTTTATGGTAGGTTTTTGTACCTATTTGTGCTAAGATTACATTTCTGGGCAGACTGAACCAGATTTTGATTTAGACATCAAGGAAGATGTTAAAGAGGAATGTTCGAAATTTGGGAACTTGAAACACATCTTTGTAGACAAGTAAGTTTGTTGATTTACCCTTGATTTGAGGGTAAGATATTTGTTTGTATGACAGCTGATGATTCATTTCTTGAAGATTTGGACTATCTCATTGTGGAATTAATAGGTGATTTGTGTTAAGGATAAATCTTTTCTTCTGTCCTTTTATTTCTCTTTTTTCATGTTCAACTGTTTTGGCTTTTTTTCCTGCCGAACAGGAATAGTGCTGGTTTTGTATATCTGCGATTTGAAAGTGTCCAATATGCTCTAAATGCCCAACGAGCTCTCCATGGTAGATGGTTTGCTGGGAAGATGATCACTGCAACGTTCATGGTATATACCTTTTTATATTTGACTATTTCTGACACTGATTTCATATTGTTGAGAGTTAAAACAACTTTATTGTCTTCAGGTGCCACAGACGTATGAGCATAAATTTCCTGACAGTGGTAAATAGGATCTGGGAGTTTGGATGGGAACGGCAAATTCAAGATACTAGATGACTGTTGATAGCATCTTCAGTGTATTTTCCTGTTCTTACCCTTTTTGAGTTGCGAGCAGGGGGTTGCTTGCACAAACTGAGATGTTAAAATTAGGTTTATCAACTGTAATTGATAAGTATTTTTTTTTTTTTTTTAAAAAAACCTGGTATAATAGTAATAGACATATAAAAAGCAGTTATTTCGTTTTGCAATGGAGGACGGAAAAGTTATTTCGATACTCATTTATTGTTCTCTTACTTTTTGCTGATACCTACCTAACCTTCATATCTGAAATTGGGAGAATGCTCTTGGCATCGTTGAGTCAGTAATGGTTACAGTGGGTATATAGATTTGTTTGTCAAAAGTAAGGCTCAAGTGCTATTTCTTTTTTCAATTTTTATTTTAGATTTATGTATTTTATTCGGAAACTTATTTGAGTGAGTTAGCAATAAAAAAAAGCAATTAAGAATATGATGAAATTAGAAAATACAAATATTTAAAGAATGATGTGCCTGGGTTATTTAACAAATATGTGATTTAAACATGCTTTAGGAATAAATACATGTATAAATTGGGTATAAATCTAGAAAATACAAACTGTAAAATATTGTCAGGTATCAGTCAGGGCATAAGTTGCTTTGCCTGTTTGTTTTGCAGGCTCAGGCTTGAACCTCCTGGCAAACAGCTTAATGCTTATATAATTGGTACTTATGTCTTTTATTACCACCTTATGTAACTTAAGAAGGGGAAATTTTATATTTGTTTCTGCTTGGATGAAATCAGGATTTCTTTCAATATGAAGGGCGGAAGATTAACTTGGTTTCTGTATTAAAGTTTGCTAGATTGTGTTTTGGCACAATTTTGAGGCAGTATTGTTACAGAAATTATTGAAGGTAGATATAGCTGCCATAAGGTTTTGGTTTGAAGAATCAGCACTACATCCTTCAAGATTAATACGTTAGAAGCTGCACCATATTTCAATCATACATTTATTATGGGTATAAAACAGAGAAGTCTTTCCTGAGAGTGCTTTTAGAAGAGATGTTCTCTGTAGTTTACATCATTTTCAGGTTGCTGGTGATTAAGTTAATTCGATGGGCGATACTTTTGGTGGTTGCAAGAATTGGAATCACTTGAACCTTTTGTTCTTCCGTGGCTTACAGCACAACATGATATGGTAAATCGATCGTTATATTTGAAATAACTGTTTTAGACATTGGGTCGGTCCAAACAAAATTCAAGAAATAACGAAAATTTTGTAGATTAATGTGATAAAGTACCAACAATATGTTTAGTTCAATTACATAAACCATAAATATTTCAGGAGAGGAATGGCTATTTACAGATTGTTTTGTAATTATGATGACTGGATTATGTGTAATTCTGATTCATGAATTAAGATAAGAGCTTGATCTATAATGATTATTGTATTATGGATACTTTGAAAAGATTCAAAATCTGATTGACTGAATATATATATATATATATATCTTTCGGCTTTATTTTCAGTCCTTTATCTAGACCTTGTAAAGCATATTTTATTTTATTTTCATTCAAGATTTTTGTAAATTTAATCCATGAAGTAACTTTGCTATCAATTTCTTTTTTTTTTTTTGTATAATTATTTTGTGAACGATGTGTTTAATTTTTTATTTTAACATATAAGTTGACTAAAAATTTTATATTAATTAAAAAATTATTAATCGAATTAAAAACAAAAATAAAAAATCCATTACCGTTTTTCAAATTAAGCGCACAAAAAATATGTGCTTTGCTTGCACAGTTCGTCTGAGAAAAAGACAGGAAAACTAAAATAATTAAAACAAAACGATGCGTTTTCACTGGGAAAAAAAAAAAAAAAAAAAAGCACGACGGCGGCCACCATCGGTCGGGAGATCATTTTAGAGGAACGTTGTTTACCATTCGGCCATCTCGTTTTTACTCTTTCCTCGTCTCACTCTCGCTGTCTGTGTGTTAGCCTTGTAGTCAAAGAAACCAGGTGAGAACTCAGAACCCTAACTTCTGTATCTCTGATTGCGCCGTAGATCAAGCTCACGTCTATTACAATTTTGCTTTGTCTATGATCTGTCACGGTTAATCTACTTTTTTTTTTTTTTTTTCCTTTTTCCCCCCAAAAATAGTATGAATTCTGTGTTTAAAATAATGTATTATTTTCCTTCAGCTTAAGCAAATATGACTCAAGATGTTGAGATGAAAGAGCTGGCAGCTCCCTCCAATTCCGTCGCGTCGTCTTCTCCTTCCACTTTGCAGCGTAAGATCCATTTCCAAACCCATCGATCCTAATTTCTGCATCTCTATGCATATGTACAGGAAAAATGCAATTTCTTTTATTTTTCTTTCTATAATGTACTTATCGGAATTGGTCTTTTGAATTTTCAATCTTGTTCTCTAATAGATTTGAAGGAGATTGCATCACTGATAGAGACTGGTGCTTATGCTCGGGAAGTGCGGAGAATTGTGCGTGCTGTGAGGCTTACGGTGGCCCTAAGGCGGAAGCTGAAGCCCTCAGTGCTCTCTGCGTTCCTCAACTTTCTACTTACTCCAGGATCCGAGGTTCACAGCCGACTGTCTTCATATCTACCTAAGGTAATTTTTTTCCCTGTAATGTGGTGGTAATTTGAAGTTCGTCTGTTTTTTATATCATCTCCTTCGAGAATCTCCTCCCTTCTTCCACTCCGTCCCGGCTTGTAAATAGGACAAACTCAATCACGTTTTCATGTTCCAATTAAACACTTTTCATTTTTTATTATTATCAAAGTAGAAGATTATTCTTTTTATCAAACATTTGCAGATCCAATCACACGATTTTATAATAAAACCAATAGATCTTTCTTGATCAATACCTTCGCCCTTCATTCTAGAAAGATATTTTTTCAAGTTTGAATTTGTTCATTTAGAATATGGGTTCTTCTACTTCATTTTTGTTTACTTATATTTAGTAATGTTTGTTTTATACCTTGAGGTTGTACTTTAAGGTTGTGAAAAAGGCAGAGACTGCAGTGGGTTGATTGCGGAAGTGAGAAAGCATTTTATCTGCAATTGCATAATTGTCTTGAGATTGCTAATTGAATAATGTTTATGGAACAAAAGGGTCGCAGTACATTTAAGTGATGCAGCATCCTTATAGCTGATACATATAAATCTAGTTTAATTGACAAAATTGACATAGAAGGAGAAGAGAGTAGCTTTGATGAATGTAGATGTGAACAAAACCAATGACATCTCGGTTAAGTAAATTAACAAGGATTGTCAATAATTATCATTTATGGGCCCTATTTGTTGAGGCATGGTGATGTTTCTTCACTAGCAGGTTTTTTGTGTTACTGAGTGAGAACCAAGTCCTCTTGAATGAATTTTCAAGATGTTCCTTACTCTCTCCGTGATCATTAGAGGACTGAAGTCAGAAGCGTTGACAGCAAAATCCTCTACCTAAAAGCATAAACTTGCAATGCTTGCATAAATTTGTGGATGAATGTTGACATGAACTTCGTCTTTTGTTTTTTGGTCATATATTCAAGTCATTTAAAACCATTGATAAATCAAGTTTCGCTCTCGATTACTTTCCAATAATGCGAGCATTTCCATCTTAAAAAAAATAATCAAGGTGAAGCAATTTGAAATTAGCGGAGAATGGAAAAAAGACAACATGAAATAATTTCATTATTAAGAATCATTATGCAATTGTAATTTTCTATCTAGTTTATTTAGGAAATAGTAGTTTATTTAGGAATCAAGATTCTAGGAACATTTCTTTAATTTCCTTTTCCTTTTTCTGTATCTTTAACTTTCCTTATCTGTTAGTTTTTATTGTGAAATTAGTTTTAAAGCACTATAAATATATGAGCTCTATGGATTGTGAAGGAAGTCTATTTAATAACATATTATGCTTCATTGAATTTTACTTTCTTGTACTTATTATTTTCTTGACTATTTTCCATAATTTTTCTTGTGGATTATGGACTTGGTGGATCCAACACTTCTTAAGCTTGAACGTATCAAGCCAACTCATTCATCCACTTGAACAAGGTCAAGTTAAATAATTCATACTTCAATCTTGCATTACAAATGGAAGATGCCTTATAATGACCAGTCATGATGATAATGGTAAATGGGTACATTGACTCAAATTGTTTTCATGGATGAAAACAGAAAGTAACAATTGGAAAATATTGAATTTTTATCTAATAAATTATGAAGTGGTCAAAATTCTCTTCAAAGAAACTATTAGTGACATAATACAAACTCTGCACCTGAAAATATTCCCTGTTTTTCATTCTTACTTGGCTGGCATTATGGCTACAAAATCTAGTTGCTGAAACCAAAACTTTTCTCATAAGTATTCTGCCTTCTTGCATAAAAACAACAAATATTGACACTACCTCCTTGTGTCATCTTATCTGACAATTTCGTGTTTCCTCTTTTACCATGATGCCAAACTCCTCTACCAGTTTTTCATTCTTTCTGCATGTCTCAGATCAGACCATCTTTCTGTCAAAATTCTGTTACACCATCATCCCTTTATAACTCCATTTATTTATTTAACATTGCGGACAGGAAGATGAACATGACATGGAAGTTGATACCGCAACTTCTGCAAGTCAAGCTTCTGCAAAGCACTCTCTGCCAGAGCTAGAGATTTATTGCTACTTGCTTGTCCTGATATTTCTGATAGATCAAAAAAGATACAATGAAGTAAGCACTGTGTGGTTACACTTTAGGTCTTAGCTGTTTCTGGTTCAGTCAGGATGTGGATTATTTCATAGTAGTTTTTCAGGCTAAAGCTTGTTCCGCAGCAAGCATTGCTCGGCTGAAGAATGTGAATAGGCGAACTGTTGATGTTTTAGCAGCTAGGCTTTACTTTTACTACTCACTCAGCTATGAGCTTACAGGTGATCTTGCAGAAATTAGAGGGTGAGTGGTATATTACATCCTTTATGATTTTCAGACTGCCTTCTATTCTTCCCCTAGGGCTGGATTGAGCCCACTTACCATCCAAAAGCACTCTTTTCAATTCTTATTTTGGTCCAGGCTTCTAGCATATGTTTCCACAGCAGATATGAAAATAAAGCAGAAAGTGAATTTTGCATGTGTCTTGTGGGCAAGTAGTTTTATCTGACACTAACACTCATTCTTAAACAGTAACCTTCTTGCCCTGCATCGAATTGCAACGCTACGCCATGATGAACTGGGGCAGGTAAACCTCATGGTTTTGAAACTAGTTCTGTCTAATGTACCAGATAGCTTTTACTCTGATAATGCTGTGATGCAGGAAACACTTCTCAATCTACTACTACGCAATTATCTCCATTATAATTTGTATGATCAAGCAGAGAAACTGAGGTCAAAAGCACCTCGATTTGAAGCTCACTCAAATCAACAGGTAATTCTTATTTTTTAAATGTATCATAATTGTTTATTTTCCTTGCAGTCTATGTTTAGGCAATGCTGTCCATTTTTCTCTGTTGCAACTGAACCACATTCTCGCATATATATAGTTATATTAGACCTATTGGCTTTCACATTCTCCATGGTCAACATCATCTTTGTTATTATTAGCTTTCCTTTGTTGGGTTGGGGTACAGGATAGTGGATGGAGTAAGCTTTCTTTTGTAGAAAGGCTGGCAAGCTCTTGGATAGATGGAGCAAGTCCTATTGCTGTCATTGTTTCTCGCTATATCGCAATAGATGTGAAATGTTGGTAATTAACTTGTGGTGTCTTTGTTTACACAGAAATTTTCTTGTGCTTCGCTGGCTAATATTTGTTGAGGTCGCCTTTTTTATGAAAAAATGGACCAAATTTGAATCCCCCAAAAAGGCACTGAGCAAGATGAGTAGATGATTCATACATAAAATCAACATGGAAAAACCGGCTTTTTCACTGGCTTTTGAGAGTGTTGTTTCCTCATATTTGATTGATGGCTGGCTGGCACATTGTTGGCTGGAGTTTTGATTTAGCTTATAAAGTAAAAGGCAATACATGCATGCGTCTATAATCTGGCAGTTCCAACTTTCTTCCTGTGTAGTTTTGTCGGTACCTTTTTTATTTGGGGAAGATCAGGACAATTCAGTTGGAGTACACAGATGCCAGAGAGTCACTCCTTCAAGCTGCTCGAAAAGCCCCTGCTGCTGCTCTTGGCTTCCGAGTTCAATGCAACAAATGGGCAATCATTGTCCGACTGCTGCTTGGAGAAATTCCTGAGAGGACTCTATTTATGCAGAAAGGCATGGAGAAGGCTTTGAGGCCCTACTTTGAGTTGACCAATGTAAGTTTGTTTTATGGAACTTAATTTTGAATACCTTCTCTTCTACTCACTAAAAGTAAAAAGGGGTTATTTAGGTTCAATTTGTTACTTCAAACATTTTCTATGTTTTATTTTCTATATATGCGTGTGTAAACTCAAAAACATGTGAGGTGGTTTACCTACGTGGTACAAAAAAATAGTTTTTTAGAAAACATTAAAAAATAAGGTTTAATTCTTTTTATTCACACGCCATATTTTTACTTTCATTTTCTGATTTTTTTTTTTAATTTCCAATCACCATACGTTGTTTTTTAACCATAAAGATATACAAATATAGAAAATAAAGTTAGATTATATATTTATTTACTAGCCGGAGCCTCTACTTTTCATAAATAAAACATAAAATTATGAGAGCTATGAATTGTATTTGGCTTTAGCTCTTCATCGGTTGTTTATATCAATGCCTTTAATATTTTCTTACCCAAATATATTGAGGAGAAAGTGCTCTTGTGATTTGAACCTCCAAAACAAATATCAAACTCGAAAGAGGGATTCTTCTCCCCATCTTCTCCTTTTTGAAAAAGGGCAAAAATAAATTTGTGCATTTCCAGCATGGATACGCTTATTACTTTAAGAGTTTTATTTTCTTGGGTGTATACCAGTTAGCCTTCTAAACTTTCCCTGCATTTTCAGGCTGTGCGAATTGGGGATTTGGGGCTTTTCAGATCTGTTGCTGAGAAGTTCTCAACTACATTTAGTGCAGATCGGACCAATAACTTGATTGTTAGGCTGCGGCATAATGTCATCAGGACTGGTTTACGCAACATCAGCATCTCTTATTCTCGTATCTCATTGGCTGATGTTGCCAAGAAGCTGAGATTAGACTCTGCTAATCCCGTTGCTGATGCTGAGAGTATTGTAGCCAAGGCAATCCGAGATGATGCAATTGACGCAACAATAGATCATGCAAATGGATGGATGTTATCGAAGGAAACTGGTGACATTTACTCTACAAATGAGCCTCAAATTGCATTTAATTCAAGGATTGCTTTCTGCCTCAATATGCACAATGAAGCAGTTCGTGCACTTCGGTTTCCACCAAATTCTCACAAAGAAAAAGAAAGTGCAGATAAAAGGAGGGAAAGACAACAACAGGAACAGGAGCTTGCGAAGCACATTGCTGAGGAAGATGATGATGAATTCTGATTTATTAGAGTACAAGGAACACTTATTGCATTGTGGGAATTTCTTTATCATGCTCTACATTTTTCCTAAGAAATTTCTTACCAAAATGTCTCTGCTCTTATTGACTTCCACATACTGAGAGGATTTGTGTTCTTTTGTCAAATCTAAGCAATACCTTGCTACTGCTTTGAATTTCATACTCGTAGGCTCCTCATATTGTTAAGTTCTTCCTTTAATGAAGCACCGTTTGAATTTTAAACAATTTTTATTATTTTGTAATGGAGTTTAACTTTTTAAGGGTTTTTAAAACAAATTCTAGAAGTTAAATTTATTTGCTCCCCTACAAAACCTAAATAAAACAAGGAACTTGTCAAGTGGCATTATTCCAACTTCTTAACAGACACTGGACCTGATGAATTCTCAATTGAGTTCTCAATCATCACCAAACAGAAGACAACAATGAGAAGACCAAGAAATATCACAAATTCACAATCACTCTACTATGTTACACCTTGAATTTCAAACAAAGAACAGGATTGGGGATGACCTACTACATGTTTAATTCCTAGGTGAAGCTGGGAAAAATGAAAAAGATGGTGGGTGCAAGCATACCCATATCCAAGGGTTTCATCAATTCCCAAGTGGTTTTCCTCATTTTCTGGCAGCATTTATCCAGCTGAATTCAATGCAAATGACTTGACAATGTTACTCACTCTTTCTGCAAAATTTCTGGATGTTATCTTTTTACCTGGCACATGGAATGGGTTTGAGACCGCATCTACATATGCAGCATGAAACCTACGAAAAAACTGCACAGAAGTTTTGCCAGACATAATAGCAGGAATTAGGTCATGCATAAATGTCTCAAAGTCCAGTTAAAGATGAGACTACATTATCAAATCAAGTAATTTGTTTGTTACTAAAGAACAAAAAATCCCTATAACTACCTATTTATAGAGGAGCGAAAAGAAAGAGACTGGACTAAGAAATCATCTTCAACATCTAATGTTGAGAACTTAGATACACAATTGCATTACTTCAGAGAACTAACGAATGCCTAAAAAATAAATAATGGAATGAGGCAACAGGAAGTTCCCTCTGCATGTCAAATGTTCAATTACTCTGCACAAGAAATTCTATGTTTGGAACAAATGAAATGTTTTTATGTAATTCTTTTGGATATTCATATTTAGTTCAAATCACATTAGAAAGGAAATTTCATAACAAGATGATGAAGACTGACTTCCAAAGAATTTCAAATGACATTGAAAGATTATAGTCTAATTCTATTAAAATCTAATTTTCTAAAAAGTCAATTTTCATAATCTTATGATAAAATTTAATCCCCAAAATTTTGTTGAAATAAAAAGTATGAACTATATTATCATGGTACCAAAAAACCGGGAGTACCGTCCCTATACATAAAACTTTACAATATAGTTAATGAGTTTATGACATATCCAAAATCCACAGCTATGCTCAAAATTTAATCCTCAAAATTGATATGGATTTTCAATTGGATTACACGAAAATTGTTACAACTATGCCAAACACTTTCTCCTTTTATTTCCAATAAAAAGGCTTCACAATTATTTCTCACTCTTCAGTCACAAGCATACAGAAAACTCAGGATTGGTACTATTAACTGTACCTACGTACATGACAACCAATGCTTCAGAGCTAAACGGGCTAGCTCCTGTCTATGCATGATGATTGCAAAGCATACACCACTAGCATTTCAAAGCCATTTGAAGTGAAAAAAAAGACCCTCACAAGATAATTATTTCGAGCATAGTTAATAGAAACCAAATCTAAGCAGGCCTAAGACTTGAAAGACTTGCTGCCTTACAGCAAATTATCAATGAGAAGAGATTAAGAAGAAACTAATAGGATCATAATTCCAAGAGAAAACTCCTACAAGCTACAGAACTTAATGCTTAACAAATCACAGCTACACTTACATTTCTCACATCTGCATCTTTGACATCTAAATCCGTTGTAACCAGTATGAATTTCACCTTCGTGTTAGTTAAATATCCATACCTGTACACACAACAGGCCTTGAACATTATATATTAAACCACCAATCTAATTCTAAATACCTACATATCCCCATACTTGTGCAAGTGTATATGTGTCTATACATACATGAATAAAGTGACGCATTAAGTTTGTATCCGATATAGATCAAACAAGCAAACAAACAGATATCTTCTTACACTTTATAATTCTCAGTTGGATAGAGCAGTCCCAGAAATGTCTCATTCAGTGTAGGGCCAGATTTTCTTGGATTATTCACTGAACATAGAGATGAATACAGACAGATACCATATCATCAGGGCTCATAAGATCATTCGCCACAGTTAGCAAAAGTAAAGTTCAAATGAAAATCGTGCAGTCTATCAATCAAACAACCGACATCCAGATGCAAGCGCAAATAGATATGGTACCTCGCTCGTCGACCACGTCGAGGGAGCAGTGAACGATGTGGTGGAGCTTGAGAGCATCGTCTGCCTCCGTGAAGCTCTGTATGTACAGCGGATTGTTCTTCACATCGCGATTCATGACAAACGGAAATAATCGGATCCCAAACAGAAAAAAAAAAAAAGGAAAAGACGAGAAAATCCGATAAGATTCCTGTGGACTGCAAGGATTAAATCAGAGGATCAAAACGCAGAATATGTAAATTGCTCACCTGATGGCCAACGACGGCGACGCACACGATCATCTTCTCTGGGAGATCACCCACGCACCCGCCCCCTGCATTCACGAGAGACGGATGAGAAATCTCCGCTTGCTCGCGTTAAGTTGAGCAAGTTTACCGTGTTAGCGAGCATACTGATAATCCAATACATGGTAGATCTAGACCGTTAAATCATGCACTTCCTTCTTGGCTTTTTTCCCTCTTTTGTTTCACACGCTCATCGACTTTCTGTATGTCTACAACAAATTCAGATTTTGTAAGGAATATATTTGTAAATTTACAAATATTTTCTAAGTTGAACAATGGATGTATATGGAATTTTAAATAAATTTAGATTAATGTATTTTAAATTTTAAATATATTGTTTCAAACTTAATAATTCTTTAATTGAGACACTATATAATGATAAAATCATAATTTATTGAGACTAAATAGAATATTCTTCCATTATATTAAAAATATCACTTGGAGAAGAAAGTTGTTTTCTCCTTATACATATTATAGATGTTATAAATTTAATATATTTATAACTTAATTAAGAATGACAACTCAATTCATTATTTTATTAGGCATTCTATTTTATATAGTTCGAAATAAATTTTTAAATTTAAAATTTGAGTTCGCTTAGCCTAAATGAGCTTATGAGAAATGCGAAATTTGAGCAAGATTGGATTCAAATTTATAATTTAATATCTAAATTTAACTTGAATCCTATATATATTTTGTATATAATATATATTTATAATTATTTAGTCTTATTTTTTTATAACATATATTATGTATTTTATAGTTAGGTGATTGAATATTTTAAATGTCTATTTTAGGTCGTATAAAATTAAATAATTAAATTAGATTAAAGTATATAAATAAAATAGAAGTCAACAGACCTCATTTCATTCTCATTCTTAAATTTAATAAAGTACTTATTTTATGATATTTTATTTTATAAAATATGATTCATTTAATATTAGAATAATTAATTATTTTGTAATTTGTTATAAATAGAGGGGGTATTTATATATTTAATTATAATTTGTTGGGTGATTTTGTAATTAGCCTTTTTTCCCTCTATATAAATACCCATTAATACCTTATTAATGAACAATACATAGAATTCAATTTTTTCCCAAACTTTGACTCTCTTTTCTCTCTTCATTTCCCGAACATTCTTCTTATTTGCTTCTTGTTTTACTTCGATTTTTTCTTAGTTTTCTCTCAATTTTTTATCACAAATGTCTGTAAATCTTGGCTAGATTCTGTTTTGGTATTAGAGCTACAGAAATTGTTCCGATCAAATTTTGTCTAAGTTTTAATTAAAACCCTAGATTTGTCCTCTTACTCACTCTTCAATTCAGCAACAAGAAATTATAAGGTGCAGCCATGGATACTACTTCAACTAGTTTAGATTTGTCAAAGCTCGAGGAAATTCCTATGAATCCACTTTATCTTCATCCAAATAGAAGTCCTTCACTCCAGCTCACTTCAACGGTTTTTATAGGTAATAATTTTCATTCATGGTCAAAGTTGATGAAGATGGGCTTAATTTCAAAGAATAAACTGAAATTTGTGGACGATTTTATGCTAGTTCCAAGTAGAGAGATCCTATATATGGAGCATGGGAGTCATGCAATATGATAGTAGTTTTTTGGATTATGATATCATTTTCAACCTGTGAATTATTTTTTTTTAATGGTCCTTATAATAACTCAAATATAAATCATTCATAAAGTATTTTCATCATTTTTTTAATATAAAAATATTAATGAATTAAGTATTTTCATTACAGTTTTAATGAAAAAAATTTGAATTGTCCATTAATCACTCATTAGTGATATTTTAGTTAAAAAAAAAAACTATAAATAGAAGCATCATTTTTTAGGTCCCTAAGCAAAAAGTCACATTTAGTACATTAATCTATCGTGTGAGATTTTTGAGTGCTTAAAAGAATCCAATATAAATAAGAAAAACAAGTATGTTTTTCAAACTAAAGAATGATGGGAGATATTTATCAATCTTTTGTTTATACTAATTTACATTTATTTTGTCATTTAAATTTGTTAGAATGTTTAGATGATTAACATATCATCTATAACTTAAAGTATAATTTGAATAGATTACATGAGGGATTTGTAGAAAGATTTACATGATAAGTTTTCACAGAGTAGTAAGATCATAATTTTTTACCTCTAAAAGGAGATTTACTCGATGAAAGAACATATTTTGTTACAAAATATTTCACACAAATGAAAATTCTATGGGATGAGTTATTAAATTTGAGACTAGTACTTTCATATGACTATAGACTATTGTGTGCATGTAGTGCAATGAGTTTAACCAGAAAATATCAAGAGGATGATCGAATAATTAGATTCTTGAAAAGATTAAATGAATCTTTCAATGTGGTGAAGTCACAAATTTTACTCATAGAGCCATTACCTCCATTAAATAAGGTGTTTGCACTCGTGCTATAACACGAAAGAAGTTTTAATATAAAGATTTTTATGCATAATTTTGATTCAAATATATTATATGTTAATAAAACTTTCAATCATCAACAAAAAGACCAACCTTTTAGAACAAGTGTTGGCAATAATTTTAGAGGGAACATAAACTTTATTAGTGGAAATGGTGGAGTCACTATTAAGAGACCAACCTGATTATAATGTGGATTCACTGGCCATACAATAGATAAGTGTTACAAAAAATATGGTTGTCCACTTGGTTACAATCCTTGGTCTAGAATATATCTAACATCTATCAAACAAGTACTCAGTGGCTGATCAGACAATGAGTGATTGATACCTATGTG